TGATTTTAGAGAGGAAGGGAGAGAGAGAAAGATAGAAACATCAATGATGAGAGAGTATCATTGGTTGGCTGCCCCCTGAATGCCCACACTGGGATTAAGCCTGCAACCCGGGCTAGTGCCCTGACCAGGAATTGAACTGTGATCACCTGATTCATAGGTTGACACTCAACCACTTGCTATGCTAGCTGGGCTGGTGCAGGATCTTATATTATCCTTACAGTAAGCAGATTGTGCAATATAAATACTTACTTGCTTTAATTAGCTTATAAATATTAGAAAATAATGGTGTGCTTTGCCTTAGAGCTCACTAAAAATACTTTTGATTTCCTTTCCTGCATATAGTTATAATTTTTTTGTATGACAAGTGCTTTTATGTGATTGTATAAGTTAATAATTAAAAAAAAACATTAAAGTGAGACATTGAAAAGCTGACTCATTTATAAATTGAATAAAATAAATCATTGATGTCTATTCTCAGTAGTTCTATAGTGGGATTTCTAGAAGAAATTTCTACCAGAAATTCTGTATATTTATATATATTATATATATAATTTTTCTGATACTTCTTTATGCATAAGAGAGTTTATTAGAGTGGTATCACACCTTGTTGATAGTCTTTATTACACCAATAAAATAATTTTTTTTCTAAGTAGATACTAGCAATGTCTTTTCTTAGAATTGCTAACATTATTCTTTGACACCTATTCACAAGCTGTCAAAAGATTAGGAACTAGGCGGGAAATAATTTTTAAATTATTTAATTCAAAAATGGGCCAGAGCCGATGTGGAAAGGGAAGGCTTCTCGTTTTTGAAGAGCGGGACGCACAATTACCGCTTTTGTGGGAGAGCGTTTGTTCCCTAGCTTCCTCCACGCCGCCGCTGTCTATGCAGCAGGAAGTTTCTAATGGGGAGGATTGCTCTGATCCCCCCATGTCACTGCTATGGGCTCCCTACCATTGTCCTCTTAGGGCAGTGGTTCTCAACCTTGGCTGCACATTAGAATCACCTGGGAATCTTTTTAAAATCCTGATTTCTGGGCCTCATCCTCCGGAAATTCTGTTTCTTTGTTATGGGGGTTGTGGCCCTACCCCATAACAAAGAAACAGAATTTCCGGAGGATGAGGCCCAGAAATCAGGATTTTAAAAAGATTCCCAGGTGATTCTAATGGGCAGCCAAGGTTGAGAACCACTGTTTTAGGGGCATTTCACACAGTGCCAAAAGATACACCTATGAGTGCCTGCTGAAGTGGGACACAGATCACACCTCTGTGCCTGAAAACTGCAGCCTGCACACAGTCCTCCCAGGCTTTGGAGAAAAGAACAATCAAAGACAGGTACACGGAAATATTTAACACTGTATTTTACAAAATCAACACTTTCATTCAAAGGAAAAGTTAATTTGTCAAGAGATACATCACTCTACCACATCTTATTGGTACTCTTATTACTCAACTGAAAAATATTTAGAGTTAAGGGATAAGAGAATAACCTTAAAATGCTACAAACACCTATATGTTAAAAAAAAAATGATGGATACAGGAACCCATAGAAATGACATTTAAATTTCTACAAAGAATTTAGTTTATCATAAAACCAACTTATAGTTAACGGAAGTATAGTCTCTGCATCAGTAAATTGAATATATTAATATACTATTGCATTGAAACTTTCAGTGAAAGCATCTTCTCTTTCTCTAGGCTTAAGGGTGAAGTATGAGTTTTATATAAAAGGATGAAAGTCATAGTATGTTATTTTTGTCTTTTCTGGGTCTATTTTAGGTAATGTGTGACATGGATTACAGAGGAGGTGGATGGACTGTGATACAGAAAAGGATTGATGGGAGAATTGATTTCCAAAGGTTGTGGTGTGATTATCTGGATGGATTTGGTGACCTTTTAGGTCAAATTATATTTATTTTTCCTTTATCTTTTTTTCTTCTTTTTGGTATTACACCTATAGACTGTCTCTTGGTCAAATTGTTAGTAAGAAAATAGTAAATGCTTGTGAATATGAAAATATGACTAAATCATTCTCTCTTAATATGACAAATTATTTAAAACTAGAGGCCCAGTGCATGGATTCATGCATGGTGGTGGTGGTGGGGGGCTCTCTCAGCCTGGCCTGCAGGGAGTGGGCCAAAACTGGCTCTCCGACAACTCCCGAGGGGTCCCGGATTGTAAGAGGGTGATTCTGGGGTGACACACCCAGGAATCGGGCTCCCTCCTCTGTTCTCCCAATATTATGTCTCACTTCTTTCATCTCACTTTACCCTAAGTTTGGTGGTAACTGACGACTTGTGGGCATTTAGCTGCAAAATGCAATTATTTAGCAAACAGGATTTACTTAGCCTGGAATCCAGTTGGCCTAGGGCAGGACTCTGCCAATGTCAGGTTCCCGCCCAGGCCCTTCTGCCCAGGTGGAGTCCTGTGGCAGCAGGAACCTCCTTCTTCCCACCTGAGTTGCTCCTTCGCCTCCTTCCCTCCCTGGAGGTTGCCTGCCGGCGCTACTGTCTGCCCAGAAGGAGGGAAGCTGTGGCCAGTTTCCCAGATGAGAGTGGTAGTGGGAAAATTTGCTGCCTCCACTGGAAATCGATATTAAGTGGGTGGGCCGGCACAGGCGTTAGATGTCAGGGCCACAGCCAGTAGGTCCTGCACATCTCATCATTTAGCTAATTGAGTCAAAAAGTTTCTGTAAGGGCCAGCCCCACGACCTCTGCAATGGGCTAGAGGCCTGGTGGGGAGCCAGACCCAAAGTGGGGAGCCAATGGGCTAGAGGCCTGGTGATGGATTCATGCACCAGTGGGGTCCCTTGGCCAGGCCTGCAGGGATCAGACCAATACCGGCTCTCTGACATCCCCCGAGGGGTCCTGGATTGCAAGAGGGCGATTCTCGGGTGCCGCACCCTGGAATCGAGCTCACTCCTCTCTGGTTCCAGGTGTGTCACCTGAGAACCACAGCTGCCAAGTCATCGCAGCTCAGCAGCTCCTGCATCGAGCGTCTGACCCCTGGTGGTCAGTGCGTGTCATAGCTACCGGTTGGCCGGTCAGCTGGTTGGCCAGTCACTTAGGCTTTTATATATATAGATAAGTAGGTCTTTAGTTGGAATTTGAAAATCTTTAATTTTAGATACCTGTTGAAATATGATTTGTGTGAAAATTCTAAATTGGGTATTTATTAAGTATCTGCTATGTACCCAGAAGAGTTCTGGCAGGTGCTCAACAACTATTTGTAGAACTAAAAATGTATGGACATGGTTGTCATAAACCTTGAAATTCTTCAGATGTGTGTTGTGTCTACACAAGTAAATTAAACGGAGAATTTAGGTATGTGGCTGTAAAAATTCGAGTAATGTGAACTGGGAGTAGTGTTTTATAAAAATATCAATTAAAATCACTATATTCAAAATCTGGAAAATGTAAACCTTAGGTTGATTGTAAAATCTGTTTACATTATTGCCACACAACAGCGTAACTTTTGCTGGTGAATAGAAATATCAGTATTTCTGAATACTGTAGGTTTTACATTGGTTGGAATGTTTGCAGGTGATTTTGATCATTTTTATGTTAGTTTAAGTTACTGTTGTTATAATTTAAATCGTTAGCATCCCATAATAATGTCATCCAAGGATTTAGCACTGAATGCCAGTGATTTTAGGAGGGACGTGAAATGAAATAAAATGTTATGTAGAAGGCCAAATATCTGCCCTGCTATGGAGTGTAGTTAACATGCTGGTATTATCTCAGCATTAACCGTTACATTTCCAGTGAGTGTTTCTTCCTGAATTCAGCCTTTGAATTTTCATCTTCCTTACATTATGCTTGTTTCGTTGGGGAAATTATATGAGTTTTGACAAAATGGTCTTCAGGCTGATTTCTTTCACACAGACTGCTTTATACTTCATATATATATTTTAAACAACTTGTGATTAAGTTAAATATATTCAGTCTTAAATTTGGGATGATGGTAGAGGGGAGAGATCGCAGGGGCATTTAAAATGGACAGTCCTAGATTTGAGACACTACACAGCCCCTTGAGGACCCATTTTACTTCCTGTATTTCTTTATTACTTCCTGTACACCCTTTCTACCCTTACTTCTTCAGGATAATTTTAAATTCCAAGTGGGTATGTAGCTAAAATACCCCTGTTAGCCCTGGAGAGGGACTTAGAATCTTAGCTATAGTTTTAAGAATTTGAATGCTGTCACACTGTCCCCCAACTCTCTGAAGTTTATTTTGACTAGACCCTTACTTCCTTCAGTAGATCTACAATTGTCTTGGAAATATTGACCCTAAATCTGGGGATACTCCAATGTTATTACATTATGTTTCCATTTGTAGGTAATTCACAAGCTGCGTTATAACAAAGAAATATTTGTTCACAAAGCATTATTCTCAAAGACAGAAAAAAAATTATTTCAACTGAGCATTATCAGGGAACGTCTCATTAAAAGGTGCCGATTTGGAGATTAGACCGCTTATATTTACCAGTACACATTATTTGTTATTTGCTATAACATTTCAACTGGCTTTTTATTGACATGTTTTAAGGTAAAACTTGACTTTTTACTTCATTAACCTTTAAATGAATTTTTGAATTTAATTTGGGGAAATAAAACGGAGTCTAGTTATCCACAGTCTAGCGAAGTAGAAGTGGGAGTTTTTTTCCCTCCGAATTAGGCAATCACTGATAATTTGAGTGAGATCCATCCAGTCCCTCCAATGATTTATGTGAGCCATTTCAGAGTTATTGAAATATTAAATAACACCAAACACTCAATGATAAAGGGTTATTCTAATTTGTATTAAAATATATTTTAAAAAGCTGTGTTTTTATTTTACAGGCGAATTTTGGCTAGGTCTAAAAAAGATTTTCTACATAGTAAATCAGAAAAATACCAGTTTTATGCTGCATGTGGCATTGGAATCTGAAGATGATACATTGGCTTATGCTTCGTATGATAATTTTTGGCTAGAGGATGAAACAAGATTTTTTAAAATGCACATAGGACAGTATTCAGGAAATGCTGGTAAGTTTTTTATTCCTAAAATTATCCAGAGGATTTAAATATAACTGACTCAGAATTAGGTGAAGATAAAAGGAATGCATTTCTCTTGCAATATGACACATAACTGGTAAGAGGAAAAATTAGGAATGAGAAAAACTGGCCAGGTCTTGAGCTTTGAAACTGTTATGATGATTGCACCACGTGTATTTTGCAGTGCTTTATACTCTTTGAAACAATTTGCCACATGTAATCTCCGTTGATTCTTTAGATAGAGAGCCTGTGGGTTAGGCTTGGAAAATATTATTTACATTTTTGTGTCCAGAGAGGCTGGCATTTAGAAGTCATAAATGTTAGAGCTGATCTTCACTCTTCTCACTCTACAGGTGAAAAAGAAAAACAGAAAGATTAAGTGACTTGCCCAAGATTCCCAGCTCATCACATCTGAGCAAGGGCAAGAACTCAGGTTGATAGAATAATTAGTTTAGTGTTTTTTCACTATATGTTGGCACACCTACTCATTTACAAATAAACTTAATTTGTTAGAACTTCAAAGTACTTTCTGTTAAATTTATATTTTTTATAAATTTATGTTAAATTTATGTTAAAATTTTAAATTTGAGTTAAGAAATATGAAATTCAACTCTTTGTTGCTCATCACGGTACTCATTCATTATGTATTTTTAGTGTTAGAAATCCAAAAAGAAATGATATATATTCCCAAGTCTTTAAGTGATCATAATGTAGAGGGGTAGATAAATAAAACTGAAAACAGAATACTGATAATGTTGTGGCAGAATGCACGGGAGACTGATCAGCCAGCACTCTGAGGGAGGAAAGTTTAACTTTTATTTCACAGATCTGCTGGTCCAGGGGAATTCCGGATCCAAAGCCAGAACTGAACTCGTGGGGAGTCACCTATATCTATATCTATATCTATATCTATATCTATCTATATCATCTATATCTATATCTATACTCTATCTATCTATCTATCTATCTATCTATCTATCTATCTATCTATCTATCTATCTATCTATCTATTCCTGTGGCGGCCCCTGAGGGTCCCCGCAGCTCCGCCCAAGTCAGCTGTGGCAGGGTCCTGGGGTTAGGCTCTGCAGCTCTGCCCAAGTCAGTCAGAGTGGGGAAGTAAGACTAGTTTTAACCAGATACTGAACTAGGTTTCAAGGCCCCCTCCCCCCGCCTCCATTTTCCTTTTCAGTAAAGCTTTGGGGGTTAAAAGGAAGGAAAAATTTATTATATTGTTTTACTACAACCCAATGAAAGGGAAAACAAGTCAAACAGACTATATTTAAAGCAACTCTCTGCTCTACTAAAATATTATATAAACTGTATTATTGAAAATTAATTTTGTTGGAATAAAGTAGAAATCAATTGAGAGCATTAACCATCCTATATGCTCTGAATGGAAAGACTTTTTTGAAATAGTAATGTGTTTTTCACAATGCTGTCTGATTTTCAGGTTCATTATTCCTCTACTTGGTTATTTAAAGAAAACGTCAAGTTACATGTAATTAAAGAGTAAATGCTATTTATTTAGGTACAGTATACTAATCTCAAGATAGATATAAATCCAATTTAAAGATGATTAGATTTTATAGACATTTAGGTGAGGAAAACAGATAAATCAAAATGTATACCAATTCAGTTGTCATAGAGATCAGCAGATGAAAATAAACATGTTGCTCATGAAAAAATAAAGGAGGAAGAAAATGATTCCAATTGTTGTATACAGAAAATCATCATGGAAAGGTAGTTTTCAACAAGGGGTTAATGTTAGATTCAACCTGGGAAGCTTTTGAAAGTCCTGCAGAATCGGAGTCAGTAAACTGGGGCCCAGGTATTTGCATTCATAGATGGATATGTTGGCATCTTTATAGTTGAGAACCACTGATCTCTGCTTGGAGGAATGAGTAATCACTGATAATTTGAGTGAGATCCATCCAATCCCTCCAATGATTTATGTGAGCCATTTCAGAGTTATTGAAATATTAAATAAAACCAAACACTCAATGATAAAGGGTTATTGTAAACCCTTAGTGTCTATTTACACTCTAACAGAAAACATGGTGTTGAGTTTTAATGGGCTCTTTCTTAACAAATAGACATGTGCATGATATTTTTAAAATAACTTCTTAAATATAATCCAGAGAGAAGCTGATTTGGCATATGATTTTTCTGATGATTAGACTTTTTCCAGGGAGAGAATCTGTAGAGGATCCATAAGTACTGTCTCTCTCATCTGAACTTCTGAAAGGTATCGTACCATGTGGGTGTTGAAAATATATTCTCTCTGCAAATACTTGCAGTGTGGGCATTTTGTTTCCCATGAAGAATAGAGTCCGAGACTCTGCGTATAGGTATAGGATAGGCCAGGGGTGGGCAACCTTTTTGTGAGTGTGTGCCAAAACCAGCAAAATCTGACTCAAAATGCCAACCCTAATTTTTTGAGAACATGTTACGCCTACTTGATATCTCTTAAGGTGTACGTATGTGAAGAACCTTGAAGAAATAATAAAATTCATTCGAGTGACAAAAACACAGTATATGATGATGAAAAATACATTTATTTTTT